GCCAAAATAAGAAGAGGGTATGAGCTCAATGATAACACTATAATACATTTTGATCAAGAACAATTAAAGTTTATGAAAAATTATGCATTTCATCATGGAGGTACAGAGGAAATCGAAGATTCGTTAGGTGAAGTAGAAAGCGACGACCATCCATATACTAAAACCCCATATTTAAAATTGGTTGGATTTAGAAAAATGGACAATTTTGAAAATTACTTCAATTGCAAAAACTCCATCTTTGTCAGTGCCGATATTCAAAACGGTCGTACCACCCGCTCGCTGGATTATGGTTACACCAACTCATTCACCACGTTTGCCTCGTTATACCAATCATGTTTGAAATTGAACAAGTATATGGTTGTTTTTGGGTGTATCAAGAGAAACTCGTCGCCCTATCTCTACTCACTAGTACCCAACCATCAACCACAAGGGTTTTTGTTGATCAAAAAGCCTTGGCTCAATGAAATAAGATGCTTACCGGAATACGTGATGACGGAAGAATATTTGAAGAAACAAAACGATGAATCATTAAGTGAAAAGTTCATTAAAATCATCAATCAATATTACCTTAGTTCATTTAAACCAAGCGATTGGCCAAATCCAACTTTGAATTACTGGTACAAGATTTTGAAATACGAATTGCTACAAAACTCAATCAGTCCTCAGGATAAATTACTACAAAATAACGATGACATGTTGAAAAAAAGGAATTTTCTAAATAACGATATTCAAAACGTTAAAGAATTCAACTTTATCAAAAGCCAACTCAATAAAATAGGTAACACTTACACCGTTAAACAAAATAATGCAATGCCACCTAACAAGAAGCCAAGATTAGAATTGACTGAAGACGTTGTTTTAACGGCTTGGAACAAAAACGAATGGAACTATTTCACCGTGGCCCAATTGAAAGAGTTTATCAATAAGTACCCTAACCAAATCAAAAAGGGATCCACCAAACAGGAGCTCATTGATAATATCAGTGATTTTCTTTCCAAGCGGACCTGAAATAACTGCAAATTTTGCGAGATGCCCTTACACAAACTAAAATGCATCCCATACAAAACACAAATCAGCATGCACTGATCGCTATACTTCCGCATTACTAATTCCACTCCTCCCATTGGTAGCACCGCTATACCTTGTCAGCTGCCGGCTGTCCTGGGTACTTGGGTCCCTATAGTAATCGAGTACCGGATGCACGGGTCTTTTCTTACATTTTTCGTAAGTCTATCCGTTTCGGTCGAGTCTGGACATAAATCAGAACTTAGTAAACTTAGTAATGCCAGACCAATACCGTATACCTTGAATAAACATAGGGGTATGAATGGCTAGGTAATACCCAGGTATACAACAAAGCTGATATAAGAAAAGACAACGTAGTAGGACTTGGCCATTTGCTGTGGGGTCATTCTCGATGTTTTGGGCAAAAAATATAAAAATAAATAGAAAGCTCATGAGCAAAATATATATTTTAAAATATATAAAAATATATAAAAAGACCAAACTCCTTCTGATTCAATCGGTACTGCCTTTTTTACTTTAGTAAACTCCTTTGGCTAAGCCAACTTATTACATCAGCTTACAGTAGAGCACTTTTTTGTTATAGAAATTGTATGACAGCAATTCTCGCACTGGGGTTTATATATCAGAAATTTGCATCATTTATAGAAATTTCGACGGTAAGGTAAGGAGACCATGTCGGTGCCAGAGTATACACCACCTCAGGAAGAGTTACCAAACTACCAGCCTTCATTGCAGTACTACGGGCTTTGTTTGATGAAAACCGAGTTTTTAACTCCGTACCATGCTAATCCGAGAAGAAGTTGGAAACCGGTTATACTTGAATTGAATTCGACCCAGTTGAACTTTTATGATTTAAACTGTTTGAGTCATTTGAAAAACTTGATTATTAGTTTATATGGAGAACAGAATCAGTTGGACGATTTGGCGATTAATTTGAATAACGATTACCAGCAACGGAAAAGTGCCAGTGATATAGTTATTGAACAATTAGATGACTTGTTTGCTGGAGACGCATATGGAGGGTTGAATCTGGGAGAGATCAGTGAAGAACTAGCCCATTTCAAGACGTCTGCCAGCGATAAGATTATGAAGAAATGGGGGAATTATAAAACCAATAAGAGTTTTAAGCATTTGTCGAGTTACTATAAAGAAATGAAGAATAATTTAATGTTGATGGAACCAACTAGCAATTATGAGGAATACCGTTACTCGCAATTATACAAGTATCGGTCTGATTTGATCAATAGTTATACCTTGGATAATTTAAAAGTTGGTGAAGCGCCCTCGTTAAATCAACTAATAAGCGCGTTATATAAGGAAGATACCAAATCCACCAATCAACCCATATCGACTTTGACCAAGTATAAGAATTGTTTAAGATTAAGAATCGAATGTAAACAAATATTACTACAGTTTTGGTCGTTCCATTCATTGATAAACTGGTTTAGAAATTTGAGTATTGGCAAGGATTTATGTAAACCAGTTGACCAGAGACTGATTACCAAATTAAAGAGTATTCCTAATCGGAGTAATCTGAGAAATAATGCATTGTTAATAGCGTCAGCTGCTGCTGCTGCTATTTCACCAAATACCCATAGTACTAGAACATCGATATCGACCAATGTATCTACAAGTTCTAAGAGTTCCAGTGAACTGATTTTCAGTAATACCCCTCGTCGGGAATCATTAACTTCTATTGATAGTTATTTGGAAGAGGTTAATATTCAAGGATACAATTTTGTTTCCAATGATAATTTATATACCCCTATAGAGAAACAGTTTATATCAAACTGTATACCTGATCTTAATTCATTTGATAAATGGAGTGGAGCAGATATAACGTTATCCAACTATCAACATTATTTGAAAAAGGATAACCTAAAGGATATTTTCATTAATTACACTCAATTATATGATTTGGTTCTTGAATTTGATAAAAAATTCATCAAACAAAAAATAAATGGTGATAGTCGAAGTTTTCTAATTCATGAAAATGGATTAGTTAGTGTAAAATAGATTTATTAATATATATACTTTACTTAATTCATTTCTTCATCTTCCATTCCTAAATAATGCTCTTGTTCTGTTTGATACTGTTGCTGTTGATACCCATCCATTACGTATAATTCAGCTTCATCACTTGGACTTAATTTAATTCCATCACTCGGAGATTTATCTTGGTATAACGATTGTGGAGTGGTTGGAATATTATTATTGTATATTTCATTTGAATTCTCCAGTTGAAATATCACGTCTCCAAAACTTTGATCTTCAAAATTAGTCTTAGATTCTCCAGTTTTTTCATCTTTAACTTGACGTAATATCCCCCAAGGAGTTATCTTTATTATCCCACCATCTGGATGTTGATAAACGGGCCATTCATTTGATGTAGTATATAACTCTTTTTGTTCATCATTTATATAATTTTTAGTTTTTTTAGAATCTGGTTCAATATCTTCTCTTTTTCTTTTAGTTGTAAAATTCATCAAGATGAGGTATGCAATTATTAATACAGAATAGAATACGGAATAGAATACAGAATACAGAGTACAGAGTACAAATTTATACAAATTTATAGAAAAATACAAAATAACCCCCAATAATACAATACTATAAAGAAATTATTACATATATATAATTTTATCTAAATATTTCAAACATTTTCACTAGTAGTTTATTTTAGTATCATAACTATTTGGAGAAGTGCTGGATTCTCTTCTTTTGACTTAATTCAATTTGAATTTTACACAAAACTCGGAAGGCAGGATGGACAAGGTCGTGCGAGGGCTGTTCGATTTATTGCTTGTTTTCGCGCAATGGGGGGGGCTTTTTGTGTAACTCGATGTTGTTTTTTTCTCGTTCGTCGGTAGTGCCTGCACCGCGGTGTGGGTTTATCGATTTTTCTGATGGGTGGGTCGTGTGGTGGGCGATTTAAATACCCGCGGAAGCCTGTTGCTTATGTAACGCTTGGCTGCAACTACCAGACATCTATCCAATACGATTATAGACCCTTATATCAGCACTAACAACGGTTATTGTAGACCCTTATATCAAGCACTAACATCTATCCAATACGATTGTAGACCCTTATATCAGCACTAACATCTATATAATACGATTGTAGACCCTTAACAAGCACTGATGCTGTAGCTGAACGGACACATCGACCGGCTTGGGTGTTGTTAAGAAAATGCTCCTGGTTTTATGAACTTCCGTATGATGCCATTATATTGGTGGACAGCTTCAAATACGGGCTACCAGCAGTAGACTAGTCAGAGACCGACTAATGTCGATGATTCATTTATAGATTGATATAGGAATAGCTTAATTCAACAAATAATAAGAACCATACATTTATTACTCTCCAGCCAAAGACTTATATTCAGTCACTTAAGCTCACAGTTACCATAAAGAGCACTGACGTGGAAATGTCTATTTACATGATTGAGGTATCACTATGAATAGCTAATATGATTGTACTCCATATGGTCTTCTTGCCGATCAAATAAGCATGTTTCTCTAATTTCTTTTTAAATACTTTTACCTCAGTGTACGACATCGAGAGATCTTTAGACTACACCTTCGATATCGAAGGACAACCTAGTACCATAGCTTAGTAGACTGCAATATTCAAAAATATTGTTTTTTGCGTCAATGCAGCATGTTTTTGGTTAATAATGTCAAAAATCAAAAATATTTTGGGAAAAAAGTGTAAAAAATGTTTTTTGCAGAATTATCTCTGGTTTTAATCTACCATTTTGCAATCAGTTCTTATAAGACCACCTCGGAATCACCTGATTAACAAAATGGTAGATTGAATCAAAGAAAATTGAAAAAAAACTTTTAAGATGCATTTTTCATTCCCAGTAGCGATTTTCATTGTTTAAAGAAGCCAAATTTTCAAAAAATATGAAATGAGCGTGTGGCTCAGTCGGTAATTTTCGGGTTACTCCTAAAATTGGCCGGTTCGAAGCGCCTTTGTAGTCTAGTGGTTATGATGTCTGCTTTACACGCAGAAGGTCCCCAGTTCAATCCTGGGCAGAGGCATTTTTTTGCACCTTTTTTCAAATCTCCATCTCCATGCTTTGTATGAATTTAAAGAACCACTACAAGCCATTATCAGAAGCGCATGCAAGAGTGTTTGACAGATTAAAGGATATCAGTTTTCTTTTTGGATTGAAAGGCTACAAACTAACCAATAAATCGTATTCATATTTTATATTTTCCTACTTCATATACACTCTTATATATCAAATAATCACAATAAGCCGTTTTCATAAGCAAAATCAAGAATAGCCTGGGCAACTTCACGAGTATGAGAGTTACCAGCGAAATGACCACCGTCGATTTCAACAACTTTTGCACTTGGAACGTCTTTCTTGAAAGAATAAGCACCTTGAATATCAAAACAGTCATCTTTATTACCCCATACTGCCAAAGTGGGCAATTGTAATTTTCTAAAAAATTCGTGAGCTTTTGGATATAACTTGATGTTATTTCTATAATCAAAGGCCAAATCAACTTGGCGCTGTAAAGCTTCATCTTTATCTTCGGTGCTATTGATCAACAAGTGGTAATCGATGAGTGGTAAATCGAGATCGAGTGTTTCGAGTTTTTCAGCATTATAATATTGGCTTTTCCAAAAATTAGTATCTAATAGGGCATTTTTAATAACCTTAACATGATCATCTAAATCTTTTTGATTAAATTTTGGTGAATTGGCTTCTTTCAATTCAAGCAAATCCCATCCAATTTTGAAAGGGCTCCAAAATTGTTCAGTTACTCCAATTTCGTAAGCATTACCGTTTTGACTAATCAACCCTCTGATATTATAATTACCAGAAACTAATAATCTTAATGCCACTGGGGCCCCATAGTCGAAAAAATAGACCAAAAAATTATCAAACCCAATCGTTTTCAAAAAACCATCAATTGTTTGCGCCAACTTATCAAAAGTGTATTCATAATTAGCTCCAACTTTAGTCAAGCCGTAACTTGGAAGATCTGGTGCAATAATATTAAAGTAAGGGTTCAACAAGTTGATCAATGGCTCATATTGTCTTGAACTCGTTGGGAACCCATGTAATAATAATAAATTTGGTTTGCTTTCGTCCCCGGCTTTCCTATAGAAAACCTCATCGGTTTCGTTGACCTTGATGGTATGGTAGCTTGTAACTTGATGTTTGTTAATTTGTGGAGGTGACATGGTAATTATAGAATGAATGAAAAAAAAAAAAAAAGTGGATCGGTTGCAAATATTCGTGGTCTTTATATACCAAAATGGTTGATGTATTCGTCATTAAGAACACTTGAATTTATAATCAATCGTGCTTGCAATTAGTTATCATTTGCAGTTGCAATTAGTTATCATCATTATAATTCCCAATGCACCTCCTTCTATGCCCTGGCAGGATTCAGTCAATAGTGTGGAGTTGACCTCATGGCTGACAAATCAATCGGGCAGGCAAGTTCTAAACTCCAGATGCTGGTCTAATGAGATGGCACTTACCACCTCGACCCACCAACCATGCTTACCAACCTCTTACCACCCTGCTTATACACCACCTCCTCACTCACACCAAACTCCTTTGCTTCAGCACTCTTTTCCAACAGCTTACCAACCATTTTGCAACCTTGTGAATTCTTCAAATGGATATAAGTGCGCTAACCAACCTCACGGGTGCACACACGACCAAAACTGTTTTAGATGCGAGCTGTACGGATCTTTCCCCATGATGAAATATCATCCAATGAACAAACATCATTTTATAATAAATCTCATTTTGTTAGGAGTTTACAGTTTTGTTAGTACAGTTTACTACTTACACCAACAAAGTTTTTTTTTTTTTCCTTTTCTTCCATCTTTCTTTCGTTCTTCATACGAAATTGATATAAGCATTCAAGGTTCAACGTATCTTTTGACAAGGCATCCCTATCCTTATTGTGATTCAAAACAATTAAGATCTTGTTCTAAGGTTAAAAGATAGTAGCAAAGCTCGGAATCGGAGAACGTATCGGACAATATATTCATTCATTTGATTATCAAGTTTAAAATTGATATTGCAAAAAACAGCATAATAATATTAAGAAAAGAATGTTGAGAGTTAAAAATATAGGTAATTCGGTTAGATTAGTATCGAAATTTAATCAAATACCAGTTACTAGTAGATTTTTTTCAACTAGTTTACCAAAAAAAGCAGCCGATCATGAAGAATCAGTTAAACCATTTACCAATGCTTTAGGTAGACCGGCTCAAAGATACTCTACTGAAGGGAGTGTTTTGGGTAAAACCACTTTAACCGAAGCCATGGATGAAGTTGATATGATTTGGGGTAGAGATGATGATCCAAAACAAATAGAAAAACAAAATACTAAAATTAGACATTTTACTATTAATTTAGGTCCTCAACATCCAGCTGCTCATGGTGTGTTAAGATTAATTTTAGAATTACATGGGGAAGAAATTGTCAGAGCTGATCCTCATGTTGGTTTATTACATAGAGGTACTGAAAAATTAATTGAATCAAAAACTTATATGCAAGCTTTACCATATTTTGATAGATTGGATTATGTTTCAATGATGACAAATGAGTTAGTTTTTGCTTTAGCTGTTGAAAAATTATTAAACGTTGAAGTTCCATTGAGATCTAAATATATTAGAACTATGTTTGGTGAAATTACTAGAATTCTTAATCATTGTATGTCTGTTTTATCACATATTATGGATGTTGGTGGTTTAACTCCTTTCCTTTGGGGGTTCGAAGAACGTGAAAAATTAATGGAATTTTATGAACGTGTTAGTGGTGCAAGATTACATTCAGCTTATGTTAGACCAGGTGGGGTTTCTCAAGATTTACCAGTTGGTTTATTAGATGATATTTATATGTGGGCCACTCAATTTGGTGATAGAATTGATGAAGTTGAAGAATTGGTTACTGATAATCGTATTTGGCAAGCAAGAACCAAAGATGTTGGGGTTGTTACTGCTGATGATGCTATGAATTATTCATTATCAGGAGTTATGTTAAGGGGTTCTGGTATTCCTTTTGATATTAGAAAATCTCAACCTTATGATGCTTATGATTTAGTTGATTTTGATGTTGCAGTTGGTATGAATGGTGATTGTTATGACCGTTATTTAGTAAGAATGAGTGAATTCAGACAATCTTTAAGAATTATTGAACAATGTATTAATGATATGCCTGAAGGTCCAGTTAAAGTTGAAGATTTTAAAATAAGTCCTCCTCCAAGATCTCTTATGAAAGAAGATATGGAAGCTTTAATTCATCATTTCTTATTATTCACTAAAGGTTATTGTGTTCCAGAAGGTGAAACTTATACTGCAATTGAAGCTCCAAAAGGTGAAATGGCAGTCTATGTTGTTAGTGATGGTACTGAAAGACCTTATAGATGTAAAATCAGAGCTCCAGGTTTTGCTCATTTAGGTGCTTTTGATCATATTTCAAGAGGTAACTTATTAGCAGATGCCGTTGCAATCATTGGTACTATGGATTTGGTTTTTGGTGAAGTTGATCGTTAATCAATTTTATAATATTTCATTTCCTTTAAGCATTATTTATCATTTCTTAATTTATTTATTCCTTTATCCTTCTTTCTTCCATTTTAGATTCATCAATTGTTGTTTAATTAGATTGTCTATAGTGGATCTTCATACATATACTCTTTTTTTATATAATTTTCCTAATAAAAATTTTGATTATTTGAAATTGTAACGAAAACCAGATTAACCTATCGGTTAAAACTCGTCCTATTTAAGCTTGATATACCGAAGATGGGGATTACAAAGGTGATAAGAACAACAAGTTAGTATCACCGGAAAAACAACGTATGCACTTACAACACATTCGTCCGATGTTGCAAAAAAAAGAAAAAATTGCACTTAATCTATTATATATACATATATATATATTGATACGAATATATGTTAACGCCGAGAATTGAAGGATTAACCATGTAAGGTTGAGTATAAGAGAAAAAGAGAACCTACACCACCAGCAAATACCAAGGATCTAAGCATTACTCCATCGCTTTCTTCACTTTGAGGTCCATGATACATATAAGGGTTTTTAGCAGACGTACCCAGAGTTGAAGATTGAGGAGCAAAAGTATTTTGATTATTTGACCGATTATAACTATGATGTATTTGTCTCATCAAATGTTTAGTTACTAACTCTTCATTAACATTTGATATATCACCAGTTTTTGATAATTGTTTCAAGATTTTCTCCCGATCATCATCAGTTAATTGACGATTGATAATTCTTTGTTCGAATTTTAAATTTCTTTGTAAATGTTCATTATAATTGAAATGAGGTACATCATATCTATCCCCATAATTTTTGTGACGACCAGAAAATGTTGAATTGTTATCTTGGTCGTTAAAATGGTAAACTCGATGACGTTTTGTATTTAGTCCACTAGGACCTGATTTTGAATAGTATTTTGCTTCACCGTAATACTTATTCTGCCATTCGTTTCTTCTTGAAAATGAATGATTTGGAATTGATGTTCCCTTTAATTGTTGATCGTAACTCTTCTTCTTTTTGATGTCTTTCAAAGTATCATAAGCTGATACAATCTGAACAAACTTATCACTATTCACCTTTTTCTCGTCTTCTGATAAATGACTATTCAAATCTGGATGATACTTCTTCAGTAATTTTTTAAATTGCATCTTAACATCTTTTATTGAGGCTGAACCTGGTAGTTCAAGAAGTTCATAATAGTTGGATTGTCTCAAACTAGACGAGCCACTGAAAAATCGTAGTCCACTACTTTTAATCGGATATCCTCTTAACGAAATCATTGTATATGAGAGAAAAGACCAAAAGATAACAACTTCACAGGATAATGGTGGGGTATTTATACAATTATCGGCAATGAACAACCCTAGCCTTATACTTGATGACTCAAAATCGAAACCATATGCATCCGCTTACCTGAAGATCAATAAGTATCACAAATTAACGAAAAAGACCCATCAATGGTTCCAGTTTAGCCATCAAGAGAATCAAAGAAGCTATTCC